AAGAAATGAAAGCAGGAGGGAAAACTCAATGGCAGGGACAAAATGCCAAGCAAGAGAGCAGAAAGCTAGTCTTTGTGTTTGAAGGACTCCTCAGATCTGGATTCCAATCTTTTGCCTGCATCTCAGGGTCTGTCTGGTACAATGATCCTGGGGAGCAGACATTTGAAGAGATGACTGAACTGAGGATACTGTATTCCCAAAGGAAGTGGAAGAGGCCTGTTGACAGTGTATCTTTTTTTGCCAAATGATTAAATCAGTTGTTGCAGGAACCTAGATATATTCCCAATGCTGTCCACATCAACTGGAAAATAGTAATGTTTTTGAGCTCCCTCTATGCCCACAGCAGCTGAAAATTGGCTTTGGAAAAGGAGCTACTTCATCCCCACTTTGTCTGGTGGTTCCAATCATAAATTCTTTGGAGAAGGGACTGGCTAAGGCTCAGGGCATGTGTGAACATCACCCAGCACTTGGAAATGCAGCATCAGGTTTGGCCTCTTGCAGCCAAGACCACATAAAAGGCAGACTTGGCACCTTCAATCTGCGATTTAACAACAAGAAGGTATTTCAGTGACATCTGGGAAGAAAACTGTCTGGCTGTGTAGTAAGGCTGTCTGCTGGGTTCAAAGATCTTGATACTGTTTCAGCAAGACCAGCCACTACAAGTGGGAAAGCCATTTATGCAAACTCTTCTACTCTATTCTGCTTTCACCTGCTCCAACAAGATCAATGGATGCTTGTTTTGTGAAGTACCCCTTCTTGCAAAAGTAGAAAGTGATTTTTGGTTATGGACTTGGCCTGAGTAGCTTGGCCAGCTGCAAAATGGGTTGGTCCTGAGGTTCACATCCAACCCTGGAGAACAGTGGGAAGCATTTGCTGCCACAACTTTGTCATGGAAATGGATACCTTGCAGTAATTCTGACCTCCTTTCAACAGTCTTTTCAGGTACCTTGAATAACAAGTGAGTATATCAATGCCAGTTCTCTATCAGTGATGTTGACTCCTCCAGCAGTTCTACATTCTTTTACCAGTATAAATGACCACTCTCTTTCCAGCCACGTTAACCTTCACTAACTCAAGATCAGATAGGGATTTCTTTTCTCTCCTCTTTAGGATGACAAATAGGAACATGACAAGTTTTTTTGCAAAGTGTCAAGAAGGGAAGCAGTATGTAAGACTTAAAAAGAAATAGGCCTTCTCTCAATGGACGACGTCTTGAGGATGATGTCTCAGTCTGATATTCAACTGTTTTGTACATAATGGCTTTCCAAAGCACCTAAGCCTGATCCTCCAGTATTTGCTTCTACACTTTTCAAATGGCTTTGTGAGACCTCAGAATTTTCAGGAGTGGCAGTAAATGTTATTCTTGTCTCCACTAAATCGAGGGTGCCACCTGCAAAGATTCTTAAGTACAGAACATTTACACTCCCAGACAAGAGTGATGTGCCACCTATTAGACTGAAGAGCTGTCATTTACCAAATGCTAGGATTCTCTTAACTAGAAATAGGCACTGCACAGAAGTGCCAAGTCGCAGCAAAAAGAAGAGCTCTGGCATAAACCTTTATTGTTTCCTTTAAAGAAATTGCTAGCAGAGACCTTTAAAATGAAACAAATAATGATTCAAGTTTCCAACTCCCCTTGCCTGCTCTGAACAGATCACAGATTCACTGATGTTGACATGTCTGTTATTATTATTATCTTGTCTAAACAAAGAAAATAGTAATAGCCTCAAAAATGCACCCAGAACGTGTAATCAGTAGGTCTCTGAGCACTTTTCAAAAAGGACAGCATAATTATCTCAGTTTTATGAGTAATTATCTGCATTTTAATAGTGGGATAACTAAGGCACAGAAAGAAGAATTAACTTGCTCAGCTGGCCAATGAAATACCAAGAAACAGAGTGAAATATCCTGAATCCCCATCAAATGCCCTCCAGATAACACACTTGCTAATATAATCAATCAGAACCATTACATATCTCCCATCTTCAAAGAATTTCATAAACAGTGAACAGACATCCTCAGTGTTAAACCACACTGTGGATCTCAGTATCCCATTGCATCATCTGCTTTGATAATCTTTGCTCTGTGCCTATAACTTATGTAATTAATAGTTCCCATTCTAAGAGGAGTGAGATAATTGACTTATCTAGCAATCACTTCAGAAAGATTATTATTAGAAATAGGTCTGCATTCTAAGTATACATGTGCCTCTAGATGAGCTAGGTCAAATACCGGCTCCATCAAGCGACACTAACACCAAGGCTGGCACAATCCAACTGCTTGGCCATTTGTTCCTATGTGCACACACCTCATGTGCTCCACTGTGCTGCACCTCTCCCAGCCTTGCCAGGTCTTCTTTCCAACAATCCATCACCTACACTATCACCGCAGCCTGACCCCACATGTACCTTCATGCTCTCTCAAGTTCCAGAAGTTGAAATAGTTGTCTCAGTATTCTTGATGACATGGACTTCCCATGGCTTGCTCAAACACCCCTGGCTAAAATAAGGGAATGTTGCAAAAGAATGGTAAAGTAAACCTGACAATAAAAGACCATAGCCAAAATAAAACTACTTCAGTTTAATTTCCAGATCATCAGTTCAGTGTCACATGGGTAGGTGATGCCTTCTAACAGTAGTTTGCTTTACATCCTGTACTCTTATTAGTCAAGCAAAAATTACTGAGCTAGCCTATCGCCTATTTTCTATCTGGCTAAAATAGATTAGAAATAAATAAAATAATAATAATAATAACAATAATCAGTGTCCCTACATGTCTCATGCAGATGGCAACAAGGTAGTCATGACATCCTCACTTACAGTCTGTCATGGAATTCATCACAAGAAAACACCTACGAGCTCTGAGCAAGCATTATTTCAGTCACCAAAAACAAAGCACAGAAAACTACCAAAGTGATCTGAAAGACCTTGAGTTGTTACAACAGAAACTGATGTGGAAGCACAGGGAGCCTCATTGGTTACTACAGTCATCTATTGGTTTATATAAGTTTCTAGCATGTTTAAGTGTTGTTACACGTGTGTTATTTCAGCAGCTTTCCTGAAGCTACATCAAATTTAATGCAATGTTAAATGAAATAAGAAAGAAAAGAAAATCTGGCTGATTCTGCATGAAGCATAACTATCAGCAAATGACACAAAAGGCAGAGCTGGAGGGGAAGAAAAATGTGGGGCTACTGTAAGAGGTGTGTAAAGGCCTCACACCACATGTTCCTCTGCCTAGAAAGCCCATAGCAAAACACATAATGAGGAGCATTTTAGATGCTTTCAACCTCCCTAACATTCCTCCTGCACAGCTCTGATTTAACTGTATTGATCGTCTTCCTCAGAGGAGAAAAAGTTACCTTCCACAAAGAAATGGAAAGCAAAGGAATTAGACAAGAAAGGACTGTAGTTGACACAGTCAGATATTTTTTCTACTAGCAAGGAGGACTCAGTTCTGCAAGTTACTGTCTATACCTTTATACCAAAGCACCTCTATCTGCCTCCTACCATTGGATTCAAAGCCAGTAAATAATTACTTTCTCACATAATCATTATGCTTGGGGTTTAACTGTCTGAATACTAACCTCTAAAATGAAGGCTCAGTTACGAGCATGCTTATATGACTGATCTCATACATCCCTATTATTTGACTCATATAGCCAGAATATTACATGGCTGAAATCTCCAGACTAGTTTTTGGGAGTATGTAACAAGCCTGAATTGGCAAGATCCAAACCTAAGCACAGGGAGCTTGCCTATTAGAGTGTGCTGCTCACAGCAGAGTACAGGCTATGACACAGTAACAAAGAGCCATTAATTAGGCAGTACCGATCCCATGGGTTTAGCTCCATTCCTCTATACATCACATGTTCTGAACTGTCAAATTCAGGGATAATTATTTCCGCTCCCCCTTTGTCTTTTGGGTACAATAGCTCATGGACAGCCACTGATGGCAGCTTATGAATATCTCTGCTGATGAACATGGCTCTCCTGAGGTGGTGTTTTAGAACAGCAGTCTCCAAGACAGAACTAAAGACCATGTTCACACTGTGTCTCAGATTAGTGGCTTTCAATGCACCTCTTTTCCTTCCTGAAAGCCTCTCTGTCCATCCCTTAGACTGGCACAGAAACGAAGGACACAGCCTTGTAAGGCTAGCAACTTCTCAGCAAAGGTAGCAGGAGTTTAAAGTACTTAGAATTAAGCTCTTAAAATAATTGATTGACACAATAAATGGCAGTGATTGACCAAGTACATCCTAATACAGTCCTTGTACATTCCCATATTACAATTACCATCATCAAAGAAGGAGTTTCAGTTGGTCACTGCAAGGTAATTTCCATCTTCTTTACCATACTCCGCTTCAAAAACATTAGGGAATAAACTCCCATCAGTATAAAAAATTAGATGGCAACATACATTAGGAATTTGTTGCAGCTCCAGCCCTCAGTGACTAGCAGTTTCAAGTGTAAACAAACAAAAGCTGCAATTTGAGCCAACTGTTTACTCTGATTTCAAATCAGGGTTAGCTTTGCCAGTACAAATTATGCCTCCCTTTGTCTTCAAGAAAGTTGGCCATAGACTAGAGGAAGTGAGACCTTTTTTTTTGTGTCTGATTAGATAGATCCCTTTTTACCAGCTTTTACTTTTCCATCAATGACCAGGGATTTTACAGCATTTATTATATGTCTTGTCTTCTATCATTACTCAAATACAGATTTAGTCTGTACCCCCACTAGAAGTTAGGAAGGCAGAGATTCATCTGCTGGTGCAAATAACAGCATGAGCACCAGTGAATGAGATCAAACTACCGGGCAATTATTTGCCCTGTTAACATAAGTCAAGAAACCCCAATTCAAATTTGGGGTCATTAAAGCAGAGCGCTTATAATTTTCTTGGCTGCATAAAAGCTGAGTATTACATGAGATTCTAGCTCCCAAACATTCCCAACATGATGGATTAATGAACAGTGAAAATAAACTGTTGCTGGCTTTGCTTACCATGGTAATGAAGAACTTCCTCATGGGATGCTGCTTTTCACAAGAGCTTGCACAGAGAGTGGGTTTGGAAGCCACAGGTGGGGACTCCCAGTCCCAAGCATGGGACTCCCAATCAAGTGTGAATCTGAAGTTTTCCCATTACCATCTTTGTCATGTTTCTCATCCAGTTGCTCCATCTGGAACTCTTGCTTGTTTTCACCATCTGACATTTCAACAGCCTAAAAACAAGCAAAACAACCCCTCTAAACAACCAAAATATTTGATCAGATCCTCTATATAAATGAAATGCTAGTGTATGCCAGGCATCTGAACTTGGTAAAAATAAATGAGTGCTTCAAACCCACTATTGTTCTCAAGGTCCCTGACCTTCAAAACATCATTCTATTCTATTTGTAAACAACAGACATAAGAGAACATGTGAATACCACTTCACCCTTTGGTAGCAGTATCTATCCCAAGACCTCAAAGTGTTCTGCAAATATTAGCTAAGACTCTCATGCCTCTAAAGAACTCCTACTCTTCTACAAATATTAGCTGAATCTCCCCCCACGCTATTCAGCTCATAGGAGGTTAGTGCTGTTTTCCAAGTGCAGAAAGGTTGAATGCTCTGGCTAAGGTTATTCAAGAGTTCTGTAAAAGACTTGGGCACCAGAAATACAAGTTTATAAGACTTGTATGTATATCTGAACCTCTGGAAGCTTGTCCAGATTATCATACAAATCTATATGCCACTTTTGGAAACTCTAATACACCAAACTCAAATCTAAACCAATCCAGATTCCATTTTTACAAGAGAAAGCAACTGGGAAAACTAGAACAATAGTTTAACCAGTCACCTTCTCTCCCCTCTCTTAGTCTTTAAATCTCTTTAGTCATTTTCCCTTTCGTGCACACCCGGACAAAACAAGGACTAGGAGGCCTCAACTTGCATTTAGCAGAGGACACAAAGTGGCACAGGGGCTGGGAGCAGCACACTGCACACTTAAACACCATGGTGATGAACCTAAGTTGAACTCACACGGGTTTCAGGCAAATACCAGCTTAGCACAGCTGCCCTGGTACAGCTGGACTGGTTGCTAACCACAGACGTATGAACACAAAGATAAGGCCATGGTAACTTCCATATGGTAAAAAGCATGAACTTCCTAGGAGGGCTCATTGGAGATAATTCATTTCCAAGGCACAGAAAACGTGCTTGGCTTTGACTCAGGTCTCTCTCTTGCATCTTTTGCAAAACTGGTCATGGACATTTATTTAATGGAAGTTTTCGACACATCTTATTAAAGGGCATCACTCCAAACTCTGGCCAAAAGTGCAGCTTGCAATGATTTTGATTCCCTCCAGGCTATGCTTCCATCAGAGGGTAGGTACACCTTCCCCCTGTGTTGTTTTGGGTCACCCAGACTTACTAAGCAACTCATCTACTTCAGTATTACCACAAGAAATAGGTATCAACAAAGATAGAAGCTCACAATCTTCACGTTGCAGAATTGAAATACAAAGCAAAATTTCCAAGTATGCTTTTATTGCCTGTACATGACAATTTATTTCCATTAGAGAATCACTTAAGAATATCTTCCCAAAGAAGGGATACTACTCTGTATTAACACAAAATTGTACCCAGTCTAAAATGATAAATACAATGTGCAGTCTATAATTATAGATAATGTGTAAGGTTGGTTTTTTTCCCCCAGAATTTTCTCTTCTATATTTTATGCAGTCTTGAATCTGAATTGAACCTAAGCTGGAAAAACTGAGAGATATTGACAGGAGAAAGCAATGATGTTAGCAGTCAGTATGAGGTTAAAGCTCTCCAGGGGTTATTCTTTTGTTGGATAGAAGGGGCCAGTCCACACGGGCGTGGCTTTTGGCTTTTTTACAATATGTTTTTGACTCTTGGAGTGCACTATGACCATTACACAACACTGATAATGAGTATTCCCAGAGCCTTTTAAGCATTGCAGGAGCAAAAAGAGAAGGTCGTGGCAGCTTAAAAGTACTGGTTCCCTCAGTATGGAAAAATATTTGCTACTACAGTGCACTTAAAGCCACAGGTGAAATGCAGAGCAAAAAGTGAGAGCTGGGAGCCTGAACTAGCCAGACAAAATCAGAAGGAAAACCAAACCTCCATAATTAACTTGAAGTTGGGCAGGAAGGTTCAACACAAGTGAAGTGATGGATTTTTTCCCTGAATGTCTGCAGCCCAAGACCAGGTACCTTTCTGGAGGTAGAAAAGAGGTCCTGGCTTTTGATGGGAGAGTAACCATGTAGATTTTGGTGGTGTAACTTATGGAGTTGACCAAACCAGAATAGCCCATTTCAGTCTTCAATACAGTGGTTCAAAGTGGGTAAGAAAAAAAAAATCCAAGAGAGATCTGAAGCCCACTTTCCTTATTCTGTGATTCAAACTGCTAGAAGGAAGAGAGTTCTTCAATCAATAGAAGTGATTTTTCAATCAGCAGAACTGGTTCACAGGCCAAAAGGGTTGAGAAACACTTAAGAAGCCTGCAGGATTCTCTCTTCCAAGAGATCTGCTGGAGGTCATGCTCTCAGGCTGGTAGTGTACTCACTTCCCAGGCACTCTTGGCAAGTGCAGTTCTCTGCCCTGCTCCCATCACTGCACCACCACTGTATTGAATCTGGGTATGTGGTTAAACACTACACCCCTCAACATGGTTACCAGTCTTCAAGCTCTCCAAAGGTCTGAAATGCTTCTGAGGCAATATAGTGGGGCAGAACCTCAAAATACTGGAGAGTTTCCTTTTCTTCAAAAGTAGGTTAGGAAAGTGAATCTTCCTCCCATCTGAATAGGCTTCTCCATCTCATAATTCCCTGACTAAAGAGCTGCTCTAAAACTTCCTCTTAGCCAGCATGATGGAAAGTCTCCCTCTACTTGTGCAGCCCTACTGCAGATGGTGTAGCAGAGTGCTCAGCTGGAATCACCCTGGCATAAGGTACAGGGAGAAGGACAGGCAAGCTGGTTGCTGTATTGCTCCCCCATCACTGCACGGAGCCTCAGAGGCTCCCCCGTGTGACTCCTTGAGCTGAACTGGCTCTGCAGGCTCCAGACTTGGCAGGTGAATCTTCCCACCCTCCCACGTGCACAGGTTACATTCAGCACTGCCAAGAGTCGTCGGTACCACGAGCAGGTTCCTGTTCTGCAAAATACTGTATATATGTAAGCTAAAACATTCCCTGTGAAACACTTTATGTTTAGGCAAAAAAAAAAAAAAAAAAAAAAAGACAAAAGGTAACAAAAAGAAAAGGAGTGCCCTTAACAAGCAACAGCCAAAAACCTGGCCTTTTTTTGGCAGAGCAATGCCAAGTTTACCATCGATACTGCCAGTGGTGTTTCTGACAGACCGATGGAGTCAGAACACACCTGGTTTGTCTGGTGCTTCCCATAGCTCATGTGTGCATCCAGGGGGAGCTTGGAGCTGGGCAACCTCATCTTTGATGCTGAGTGTCAGGATGAACAGAAGATGAATCTGATTTAGAAATGCTGTCTTCATACTTATCCACTTATGTCACACCACAGACTTCTTTTGAAGCAAGAGTAATTGCATAGTACTCTCATCTTTTCTTTTCTGCAGCCCCATCCATCCAGCCACGAGGAAGTCACATCCCCTCTAACAACTTCCTTGCTTTGCAGCTTACTCCTACTCATTTCAAAGGAGCTGCCAGTGTTGCATTCTTTTCATAGAACCCCAGGGAAGTTCTAACCTCAAAATTAAGCAAAACAAAGTCCTTTGAATATTTTCCAATTAACCTAAGATTGACACTCATACTTTTCTCCTCATGTTCCTGCTATTTGAACAATTGGGTTTCTCCTGTATGGCCCAATTGCATGGTCTTTTGCAGCATCAAAGAGCTAAGTAATTCCTTTCTCAAAGATCACTCTGGTTTTAAAACTCAAAGTTAAGTTCACTTCTAGGTTGCATCATTTAGTGGAAGAGATCAGAGAAGCCTTGCAGCAGCACAAATCCAAGGAAGATATCAAAGAAGAGACAGCATGGCAGGTTTCTCATATACTAGCAGTGAGGGTAAGTTAATACTACTGAAAGTATTCAGGGTTGCATTCTGCTCCCAGTCTCACAGCATAAATATCCAGAGAAATCCCTTGCTGTCATGACAGAGGGTTAGTTCTGAGTGTCTAGAGCCAGCAGAGAGCATAATTGCAATGCCATAAAAAATGTCAGCATTTGTAATTCATGCAAGACACTGTCCCATTCTGGAGCTTGCAGAAACATGCTGGCCTTCAGGGGCCTGAAGGCACCAGGGTCTGGTAGTGAAACTTTCTTTGAGTTGATGGTGGTGCTGGAACACAGGAACACTTGCTCGGCTGAAAAAGCAGTTCTGCCAGCAAAGTTGCAGGCAGGCTTCTGTGCAACCTGGAACAGAGGGAGGAGAAAGCTCCCAACACGTAGTAAAGGAGCAGCAGTGCCTGCAGATTCACAGACCACACAGCACCCAGGGAGCAGCCAGCACATTAGAGACAGTGTGTTTATACCATTTGTCACCCACTGTTGCTTAGGTGAGGCACATCTAAAAGCTATTGGGCAAATTGCCAATGTGTCCAGACTGCCGAGGTGGGGAGTTTCTGAGCACTTTCTGTCCATTAGCTTGCAAATGTCCCTCTGAAGAAGGTAAAATATTGTCGCCCACACTTTATAGATAGGAAAAGTGAGGCACAGAGGGCCAAGCATCCCAGTTCTCTCTCCCTACTTTCTAAACCATAAACGACAATAGTCCTTCCCCCAGTTACTGGAAACAACAGGCTCTTTCAGAAAAAGGGGAGTTGCCCCTTGCCAGGAAACAAGTAGCCAAAAGCAGTTGGAGGTAGCAGCCTGCAGCCTATGCACTGCCTGACACAGCCCTGAGGTCTTTTCCTCCGGCACATCTCTGAGGTCCTCATCTGTACTCACAAAAACATTCTGTGCTCTGTATGCTCAAGGAGTTCACCTTCAATAAATAATCCGAACAAAGGGAGTTAGTGCTGGCACAGTTGCATGGGTTGCTTCAGGGAGAGTTTGCAGCAATGTCAAACTCACCTTTGCTGGTGGCTGCTGCCACTTGCTGGGAAGGAATCCAGCCCCCAAAGGGGAACACTTAGGAATATCAAGAACCAAAAGCGATTTCGTCCCCATTAGTTAATATCAAATATAAAGGTCACATTCCAGTACGTAGCAAGCAGTCATTGCCTCCTTGAAACACAGTT